TGGCGGAGGCCCGGCATGTATCGTTCCCCGAGGAATCCTCCCCTCCCCAGGCCCGTCATCTGTTGAGCGTTGGAGAGAAGGAACCGGGGACATTGAGGAAGGCTGAATAGCTTGGGACTCCCTTGCCGAACTTTTCCCCCCCAAGGCAGGCTTGTGACGATGGGCCACCGGAAGGGGTCCAGGACCTCAGAGAGTCGACTCTCCTCTGGGTGGGCCTTGGCGTGTGTGGGAGCTGTTTTTCTCAAAGAGAAAATGCTCAACTGGCGAGTTCAGGTCTCCAGCCACACCAGGAAAGCGCCCAGGGAAGGTTCTAGCGTCTCCCCTCCCCTTTGTTAGGCAGCACACTTGTGTAGAATGGTAGCGAGGCTTCTGCAGACCTGTGGCCCAAGCCTGTGAGGCTGGTTTTCATGGGTCGACGGAATTGGATTTATTCAGGTTCTTTTCTCCCTCTTCTCCTTCTCTCCACTTCACCTGAGTTACAAAGGCTGCTGAGGGTGAGCTGTTCTGGAGTTAAACTGCTTTACTTTATTCAGACTTGGAACAGTCTTTTAAACTTCTGAGAACACTGTAGCAGTAAAACATCAAGGTGGTGTTTTGTTTTGTTTTTCTGTTCTGTTTTGTTATACACATAGGTGTAAATTTCTATTATGGGTTTGTTTACATTGGTGTTTATAGAACAGTAGTAGGATTTTATATAGCATTTCATTTTATGTACTCTGTAGTCTCACTAATTCCTGTCACTTTTCCACGGAAAGCTTTAGTAGCTATTTGTAGTAGTCGTCCCCCCCAATAGATAAAGATAACAGACACAAAAAATAGAGACTTGCTTATGTGTCATTAAGTAAGTTCATGGAGCCCGGACAGTGGTTTTTGAAGTCCTGTGCTCTTATTCTTGGGTGCCCCAGTCTTTGGTATTTTTGAGAGCCTGTCACAATACTTCCATCATCTTCCAGGGTAAGCTTCCTTATGGAACTTTTTCCTTCTCATATTCCATCATCATAGTAGCAGTTAGTCTCAGTATTCTAATGATGATAGTCTGAGCAGTATTTTCTTGGAATGACTCTGTTGGCTACGGTTAGAGAGTTGGTGAGCATGAGTGGAGTTGAAGAATGTGAAAGAAACTGCTTCCAGTTTGCTTCGGCAGGAGGTATATGATTGGGTAATTGGTAGCCTAAAGAAGAGGATTGTTCTGGCCAAGTCAAAGTCTGGACTTGCCATTTTTTCCTCCAGGGATGTCCAGACCATGGTTGTTATGCATATCCCACTTTTACTTCTTTCCTACTGGTATGTTAAAAGGACTTAGCCACCCTGGAAAAACGTTAGAGGCAGAAGAAAAGACTAAGATGGATTTGAGGGCTCTATAATAGAGAACAGCCTGTTGCTGAAATGGTTGGAGATCTTTTATTACGACAGTAATGGGGTAGTTTAGGGTCTTGGGGATCCGAATATGACTTGAGTAACACTATTTTTTTTCTTGTTTCCTTACCTCAGATGTAGGTAACTCCAACACAATTAAGTTCTTTTTAAAATTTTTATTATCTTTGTTCTTGAAAGTATTACAGTTGTCCCCCTTTATTTCCCCATTGACCTCCTCCTCCCTGCTCCCACTTCCTCCCTTTTTCTTAAAAAAAAAATTTATCTTTATTGTTGAGAAAAAGCAACCAAGTTTATTGCTAGGTTTAAAAGAAAGAAAAAAGGTTTTTTTTAAAACAAGCAAACAAACTATCTTTATTGTTGAAAGTATTATAGATGTCCACTCTCCCACCACTCCCCATTAACCCCCTCCACTCTGCCCCCGCCCCCTCCCCAGGCCTTCACTGCACTATTGTCTGTTTCCATGAGTTCACAGTTAAGTTCTTAGCTTTGTCAGTTGCTGAACAAATATTGTAAACTTAGTAGAATTTCTGTTTCTGCAGAAATTTCCTTCCTTGTTAATCAATAATAACATTTTAAAAGTTTTATTTATTTTAGATAGACGGGGGAGAGAGAAACATCGATTTGTCGTTCCACTTATTTATGTATTTATTCGTTGATACTTGTATGTGCCCCACAACCTTGGCGTATCGGGGACAACGCTCACCAACTGAGCTACTCAGCCAGGACCAATAATAGCATTTTGATGTGTAATTCTTGTTTGACTTTTCTGTTACTTCACCAGAATGACATTTTACCCCCTTCCCACCTTCTTTATTCTTTTCTTCTACTCTTTCCTCCCCAATACGCTCCAACGTCACAGAAATCATGAAGGAGCCCAGGCAACGCAAAGATAATAGACGCCCTGATCTGGAAATCTATAAGCCTGGTCTTTCACGACTAAGGAACAAACCTAAAA